GCGGCCGAACCGACGGCCCCGATCTACCCAAGGGTAGATCGGACGGCGGTGGGAGCTCGCGGCCGGGCGCGCGGGCATGGCGCAAGCCGAACCGGCGACCATGGCGCCGGCGGCGCAGCGCTCACGCGGCGGCGGTGCGCATGCGGCAGCGGCGCAAGGCGACGGCCGACGGCGACCGACCGGCGGCGGAGAGCGGCGGCTAGAGGAGGAGCGGCGGCTACGCAGCTAGGCGGCGACGCGGCGGCTAAACGGTGCGGGAGAGAGAAAACGAGGAGGAGGGCCTTACCGACAACGGTCGACGACGGCGGGCGACGGAGGACGATGGCGACGGCGGGACGAGCTCCGGAACCTCCTAACGAACAAAAGGAGAGGGATTAGAGGGAGAGGGAAGAGCGCGAGAGAGCGAGAGCGCCGGCCGAAGGCGGCGGCCATGGCGTCACTCACCGGCGCACGACGGGGATGGGTCTCCGGCGGCGAACCTCAAAGGGGAAGGGGCGGCCGAGGTAGATCTCGACCCCGCGAATCTAACGGCGGCGACGGCGCAAGACGGCGGCGAGCCTAGCGGCGGCTAGCGGCGGCCGAAGTGGCAAAAACGGCGGCGGCGGGTGGTTGCAAGGCGCGGAGACGATTGGGAGCTCGGGAGGGGTCGGCGAAATGGGGAAAAAGCGAGAGGGGGTGCCGGCGATGCTTAAATAGGGGGAGAGAGGGCCGGACGTGGCCGGAAGAGGCGGGATTCGCCGGCCGACGTGGGGGAGTGGGGAGGAGAGAGAGGCGGGATTCGGTTTTCGAATCCCGGCCATCTCGGGCGCGGGCGCGAGCGGGAGAGAGAGGGGAATGGGCGCGGAGGGCGCGGCGCACGCGCGGACGTGGCCGACGTGGCCCGGGGAAGGCGGAGACGAGGGCGCGGCGGCGGTTTCGGGCGCGGCGGCGCGCCGGGATCGGCGGGAGGAGGGAGACGGGACCGACAGGTGGGCCCCACCTGTCGGCGACCCCGAGAGAGGAGGCGGCGGGCGGCCTGGGCTGCCGGACTGGTCGGGCTGGGCCTCGGCCTGTGGCCGGCCCAGTAGAGAGGAGGGGGAGGAAAAGGGAAATGGGCCGACGGCCCATTTGACAAAAAGGAGGAAAAAGAAAGGAAAAAAGAAAAAGAAAAGGAAAAAGGATTTTTCCCTGGAATTAAAATATTGCTTGCTCAATTTTAATTGGTTGAAAATTATTTCTAGAGCTCTGAAAATTCCACTAAAAATCCTGTTAATGAATTTCGACATGTAGAACTCAAGAAAAATTCCACATGTCCAATCCGATTATTATTTGCATTACTTTCTTAGGGTTTTCTCCTGATTTCACCTGCATTTTCTTGGGGTCATTTGTAAATTCAATTTTTGGCTTGGGAGGAAAACTTCGGGGTGTGACATCACCCAAGAGCTAAAAGTCCACAATTACTCCCTCCAATTGCTCCTCTCTCTCTCACCTTCTTGTTGGCCCCACGTGTCAATGAGTCAAAGATATTCTTGGGAATATCTTTTTCAATACTCCACACATATTTCTCTTTTCTAGAAATTCAATAAATCATTTCCTATATTCCAAATTCCATAAACCCATCCTCTTAATCCGGAGATTCCAATAATTCGTCCCCTCGAGCCCGTACGTCAGTGACTGTCAATAATATTCTTGAGAATATTATTTCTATAAAATTCCATAAACCATTTCTCCTATTCCAGAAACTCCAATTAAACTTCCAAAATTCATATCTTCTCAACCGCTCTTCCGTTTGACTCCGTTCAACTTCCAGTAATTCCGTAAAATTGAGATCTATTTAATGGCACTACTAATTAGTCTAAATAGGATCTTTCGTTTGGTCCTTTGTTTAGGTTTTCGATTGTTTGCGCATAGTTGCGGTTATCGGATTTTCGTCGATCGCGGGTTTTCTCGAAGATTCGTGAAGCTTCGTGAAGACCTTGAGCAAGGCAAGTCACCCTTTGATCAATTGCTCCTATAATTGAAAAGTCATTATTATTTTGTTTGCAACTTGCATTATAGAATCACACACTTAACTTGCTTGGCCTCGGTTTGCATGCCAAATCGACGGACCTACCCAGTAGTCGCACTAATTTCCGTAGGTCGTACTACCCTGATTCCTTGTCGCTCCACCCTTGTGGTACCTCGGTATTCGTGCTCTCTGAGCGCGTATACCAAATATCCCACATACACCGTTGCTTGTCGAAAACTTGGGAAATGGGTTTGTGAAGCCTTCAAAACCTGACATGTGGTGTCGGTGTGTTTGAAAATAAAATGAATTGTGAAAACTCGCGATGCGGGGGTTGTGCCTATGTGGCACTGTCCCGTATTCGCATATAAGGACCGATTCCTGTGGGAAACTCATCGAACATAATCAAAGTGCAACCACAAGGTGGAATGGGACACCCTGGCTAAGTAGCTAGTCGGTTCAGGGAAACCTCGCATGCCAATAGTTGGGAACGCCGGGGCGGGGTCGGTTGGAGCCAAACCGGGTTCCTGGTAAGGCAAGAACGCGAAGCTTGCCAGATTACCGATCGAGGTGGTTGGAGTTTGATTTGTGCACGCCTAAAATGGCCTATGTTTATGTGAGGATTTGATCCTTCTATGTGGCATGAGGTATCCCTGGGTCGGCTTGAGAAAGGCTTTGTCGCGAACCTCTGACACCGGCCAGTGTCTGGAGTAAGTTCGTGTCTTGTGGGTAAAGTGTACCCCTCTGCAGAGGTTAACAAACTGTTCGAACAGCCGTGCCCACGGTCATGGGCGGATGTGAGGTGGTTCCCGTTGCGTAGATTTGTTTGCCTGTGCCTTGTGAAAAGTTGTTGTGGTGTGGGAATCGTAACCAGAATCAGCCTATATGGCAGATGGATGACCTGAGTGGTCAGAAACGAATCTGTGTGATTCGGGATGTCTGCGGGCATCATAGACTAGGCTTCCCGAGTGGAAGCGGATTGTTGTGCTGCTGGGCAGCTGGACTCTGGGAGTCCGAGAAAATGAAAAAGGCTCTGGGAGCCGATTAATCAAGTGGAATGGCTCTGGGAGCCGAGAAGTAATGATCTGACCCGGGAGGTCGGTACGTTACTAAATGAGCTGTTGAAAAGCATCTCTTAAAGTCGAATCGAGACGCAAGTCTCTTTTCGCCCAAACATAGAAAGAAATAAATCACTTAGTGATTTCAAAATGTCTTCAAATAAAAGATTTGCAAAACAACCTTGCCTCTCTTCCAAGCTTGCATTAAACACCTAAGTTCCCGTGACTTGCTGAGTACGAAAGTACTCACCCTTGCTCTATATAAATATATATATATAGTTCCTCCGCCCTGAAGAGAAGATAAGGTGAAGTGAAGATTAGGGTTTCGTCCTGGTTCCCAGCCGTCGCCTGTGGTGTTGGGTGTTAGACCGTTGGTTCCGCTGCTGCTGCTGTTGTTGGTGTTCGCCTCGTCCGTGTCGTCGGTTGTATTCTCGGGCTGTCTGAGCTGCAACCTAAGTTAAGGTAAATAAGTCCTCTATTTATTTTAAGGATTTGCAATGATTCATATTTGTCACCGTGGGTACCAGCACTATGTCCTGGGACTGGTACTGAGATCGCGGTTTCGTAGGAAGCGGTTCGCGCTGTCTTTCCTACGACACGCTCCTATCAGGTGCCGTTGTGCGGCGGTGCCGGATTGGGGTGTGACAAAAGTTTGAAGAAAAAGTTGTAACTTAAACACGACCTAGGTAGTTTTCTTTGTTTTTAATCAAGCAGTAATTTTATACTCCCTCCGTTCCATAATATAAGGGATTTTGAGTTTTTGCTTGCAATGTTTGATCACTCGTCTTATTCAAATTTTTTTGAAATTATTAATTATTTTATTTGTGACTTACTTTATTATCTACAGTACTTTAAGCACAACTTTTCATTTTTTACATTTAAAAAAAAAATTTGAATAAGACGAGTGGTCAAACATTGCAAGCAAAAACTAAAAATCCCTTATATTATGGGACGGAGGGAGTAATTCGTAATCATTCGTCGTACAACCTTTATAATAATCAGGTGTAAGGTATTTGATGTATATGTCTCAATTAATTTCATTATTAAAAGAACCCGTGAAACACATGCCTGAACAGCATAAACAAGTTTCCATCAAGATGGCTAGCGTCGTCCTCCTCGTCGTCTTCTTCTTTTAATACTCCCTCGTTCCCTAAATATTTGATGTCGTTGACTTTTTTAAACATGTTTGACCGTTCGTCTTATTCAAAAACTTTTGTGAATGTGTAAAACTATATGTATACATAAAAGTATATTTAACAATAAATCAAATGATAGGAAAAGAATTAACAATTACTTAAATTTTTTGAAAAAGACGAACGGTCAAACATTTTTAAAAAAGTCAACGGTGTCAAACATTTTGGGATGGATGTAGTATTATGCTGGCATCATCTACTAGACTGATTATGTAGTCATTTGATGGAACATAGTGATGACCACTACCACCGAAGAGGAAACTCTCTTCTGGAGTAATCCCCAAAGAATGTCTTCAGAAATCAGACATCGTCTCAATAGTTATAAAAAAATCTTAACAATTTTAACAGTATTTATACATGATACATGTACAACTCCATAAGTTTCTAACTCTTATAGTTCTTGGACTCAACTCACACGTGAGAAATAATAAAACAAATCCAGCATAAGAATAGTGCCGGTACTAGCAGTACTATTTACATCTGGATTTATCTTTATTATTCCTCAAGATGTAGACCAAATTTGAAGTTGATTCTTACTAGAGTGATAAATGTCACTATACCCTGCACTACCATTCTTTTCTATTTTGTTACAACTATTTCCATTGGTTTGGACAGCAAATGTATACAGGGGAAGAATATCCCGGCAAGATAATCCATTTCCGACCACTTCGTTAAACAAGGCAGGGGTGCGCCGGCACAAATGGTATGTTTGGAGGAGATTTAACTATTTGCCACTTTTAAGATATAGTTATTAAAGATTTATCACTTGATCTATAACATATAAACTCTCACGTATCTATGACATATGATTTCACTGGTAAATTTTTTATCACCACTCGTAAAAATTGCAAATAGTTAATTATTCGTGGACACGATGACACGATGCAGAGAAGTACGGATGACTAATATAGCGATAATATTTCTCTTGGGAGTACAGTTAATGGCCAGCAAGGAAAGCAATCACTCGATCCATGAGCTTGACGGCCTTGCTGCTGCCGTACTTGCGGACGAAGAAGGCGTGGCCCTCGCCTTCTGACTCGAACCAATCCACCTCTCCGCCCCACCCACTTCGCTTCACGGCGTCGTAGTACGCACGTTCCCTTGGTCTTATCGGGTCCTCCGACGCCGCGCAGACCAGCATCCTCTCGCACGCCAGCTTCGTCAGGCTCGGCGCGCCGGCCGCCATGGGGTTCATCCGCGGATCGTCCAGCCCGCCCTTCGCGTCGGGGAAGATGATCGACCACCTCTTCTTGACGCTTTCCCAGAATTCCTCCGGCTCCCCTTCCATCCTCGTCTCGCCGCAGAACGAAGGGTGGAGCAAGATTGTGCCCTCTATGCGCGCCGGTACCGCGGCGTCCAGGCCACGCACGCCCACGGCGATGGTCATGTTGTGGGCTATGTTCCCGCCAGCGCTGACGCCGGCCAAGAAGACTCGGCCGGTGTCGCCGTGCTCGGACAGCCATGGGTCGGCCCCGGACAACGCCCAGTTGAGCGCCGCCCAGGAGTCGTCGTACGCCGCCGGGAGCAGGTGCTCGGGAGCGAGGCGGTAGTCGACGGAGACAGCGATTAAACGGGCCCTGGCGACGATATCGTTGATGTTGCGGTGGCGCTTAGGGCAGCTAGCTGACCCGACGACGAAGTAGCCGCCGTGGAAGAAGACGAGGATGGGGAGCTTCGTCTTGCCGTCGTCATCGGTAGCAGCCTGGATGAGTGGTAGGTAGAGGCGCACGAAGACGCCGGTGACAGCGTCGATGACGACGTCTTTGGAGGTGACGCCGGTGTCGGCGTCGAAGCCGGCGGGCACGGTCTCCATGTCGCCGGTACGGTCGGCGTGGCCATCCTTGTATAATCGGAAGCTACCGGCGTCGACGAGGATCTCGCTGCTGCTCGAATCCATTGCGCAGCTCCCTTCAAGAAAGGTAGTAGCTCCCAAATCGAGCAACGAGAGAGTGGTTTTGTGTGGTGCAGGGCAAATTAATTAGCACCGCATCCCACATTTATTCTTGAGCGGCAACCATATTCTCAACCATAATAATGCTATCATTATAGACAACATTAGAAAAATAAGACTCACATACCAGTGATTATATTGATAGTGACATTATGATAGAGGATCACATATGGTTATACCAACCATCTAAATCATTGTTTGCAACTTCCCACTTAGAATTATATTGGTACTGTAGTACTCATCTGTTTATATATATATATATATATATACATATGTACATATATATATGTATATATATATATGTACATATGTATGTATACATATGTATGTACATATGTATATATACATATATATATGTACATATATATATATATACATATATATACATATATATATATATATACATATATATACATATATATATATATATATATACATATATATATATGGTGTTCTTTATTTTAAAATACTAGCAAAATACTCATGCTTTGCTATGGGTAAAAGAAAATATATTATAATATGTCATAGACAAAATATATTTTCATCAAATATCAGTATCACTTGTTCGCTTATTTAAATATATATAGCATTCACTTATTTGAAACAAATACTTTGTTTGAAAGAAATAATGAACTTTTCCATAATATCAGAAAATATCAGGGGCTAATATATAAAAATTGAAAAAAAAATGGTGGGGTGACAGTGGCAGATTCATTGCTCCCATCACCAATGTCTTTTAAAATAGTATAGATAACATCTAATCAAGTGTCTTAGTGAAAGTATTATTTATTTTGTTGTGATTTTTTATTAAATGTATTTCAAGCATAACTTATATTTTTAAAATTTTGAAAGAAGACAGCTGATCAAACATCATATAAAAACTAGCATTTTCATATATTTTAAAAAATAAAGTATATTGTTAAAATAGTAAGAAGATAAAAAAAAAGTACACCCATTGAGACTTGCAAGTATTAATCTTTACTAAGTTGACATGTGGCTCGACTGATTAACAAGGACAAGCAACATAATTCAGTTCTTTTTTCTTGAGGATGATGACAGCATTTATTAGTCCGCTAACAAATATTGCCTTCGGCAGTTCGGCCCATGGGCCGCTTCTTATTTAAGTGAGAAATCCGAGACAACACGCAACTCACAACACCCCTTTACAGGTGGTCTAAAATAATACCCGCCGGTGAAAATATAATAACGTGTATGAGAGTATCTATGCATCTTTCGAAAGATTTTTATTATCATATCACACAGATTTTTAATATTTAGATTAAAATTCAATAGACATAGTAAAAAACAAAAAGCAACTAAGAAACATCATAATGGACACTAATTACCATATCTTCAAGAAAAAGACCAAATCTAATAAGAAAAAAAATCTTTCGAGTGAGATATAGCAAAATTGAATGTGTATAGTTGGTTATTGACTACATATGAAAATCTATTTTACAATCAAGTGTCTTATTATGGGAACCATACATAAAAATAGTATTATTTTCACATATAGTCCACCTAATGAAAAGAGTTGCAAATAAGAACTGTCAACCGGACCAACAACATCACAACCTTAATCTCCCTCCCTCCCTCCCCAAATTCACTCTTTTCCATTTCTCCCCTTCAGCTCAATCCCTCTCTCTACGATGATGATCGGGGCCAAGGTGGTGATGGTGGTAGCAGCAATTAGATCCCAAACTCGACCTCTCTCAACAGCGACGACCAAGCGAAGGTAAGGGGTGGCAAATGACAAGGAGGATCCCGACGACGGTGGCGGACCTTGGCCGGGGCCGCCAAATCTGGTGGCAGTGGGCCTCGGTGGCAAGGGTGAAGGGGAAGGGCGGCCTCATCTTGCCGGAGCTTGGGAAGGTGACGATGATGGTGACCACTCGGGGTGTCTACAACTGCAGGGAGGTCTACAGCTTGGTGGCTCACATGGCATTAACAATGGCAGCTTACGGGCATAGATCTAGCAGCGACAAGCCTTAGGACCTCGGGCGCGCCAGATCCAGCGACGTTGGGTTGAGAGGGCTGTGGATGTCGATGATGGGGTCTGCTGCTCGGCGATGGCGTCAACAACGATGGCAACAAACTTGTGTACTTCTGGGCGTTCTCACTGCTATAGCATCGACCCATGCATTGATTTAGGGCTAGTCGTTGACACTGAAATTGTTAGAACCATGCAAATTTTGAGTTGTTCTCGTAGAATTTGTGATTATGGATTTTGGGTAGGGAGGTCTACAGCTTGGTGGCTCACATGGCGTTAACAATGGCAGCTTACGGGCATAGATCTAGCAGCGACAAGTCTTAGGACCTCGGGCGCGCCAGATTTAGCGACGTTGGGTTGAGAGGGCTGTGGATGTCGATGATGGGGTCTGCTGCTCGGCGATGGCGTCAACAACGATGGCAACAAACTTGTATACTTCTGGGCGTTCTCACTGCTATAGCATCGACCCATGCATTGATATAGGGCTAGTTGTTGACACTGAAATTGTTAGAACCATGCAAGTTTTGAGTTGTTCTCATAGAATTTGTGATTATGGATTTTGGGTAAGTTTTGAATTTGATGTGAATCGGATTAATGCTACTTATCTAGTTGGACGCTCAATTTTATGAATATTAATTTTTATTTTTTTTCTCCTTCTTTCCCCAGTCGGTTGGCTTAATGCTACCGTACGTGGAAACCGATTTTCACACGGGAGTGTGGAACCTAGTGCGGAAACTGACGATTTTCAAAAAGCCTTTGGTTAGAGGCGGGCAGTCCACCAGCCAATATTTCTCCTGTGTTGTGTCAACAATGTGCCTCAGTTTCTCTTGAAGATCTCACAACAATGAACCTAGTGCGGAAATTGACCTTCTCCTTTAGGCTTGCATAGATCTTCCGATGTTTGACCGACCATGATTTGAAAAGATCAACAAGTTTATTTGGTAATGCAATATCCTCCTGTGAGTATCCGACAACGGAGAAATCTATTCTAATTGGTGTGCCGAATATTATTCCCTCAAAGCTTTATTTACATTTTACAGTTTTATGTTGTACTGTCTTGATTGTGTGTAGGAGACTACTTTATCTATTACTTTAACTAGCTAGATGGCCCGTGCAATTGCGCGACTAGCATCCATATAAAATTATCTGTTTTTAATATGATTTTACTTAACATTTATTAAATAGTTATCTCTTTATGTTAAGACTTTGAAAGACCAAAGCTTATCATCCATGTGTTTCAAATTTTAAAGTTTTTAAAAGTCACCCCTTCTTATTTATTGGTTCGATCTACCACTGTTTTTATTCATTTTCCTTGGAACCTTTAAAATTGATCTTATAATTTTTAGAGTTTATTGTCTCATTGGGTTTAGTTTTTATAATTTTTAGAAGTCCCATCAAACGCTGCCACTATAATCCTCTACGACCCATCCGTCGTCCCATCTCTTTATTGTCATTGAAATCTTAATAATCGAACATAATTATTGTTTAGGTTTATTTTTTACTTTCTAGAAGTCCCGCCAAACAGAGTGGCTTTGTCACCGTACTTTTTTATGGCTCGCCCTCTACCTCATCTTTATTGTCATTGAGATTTTAAAATCGAACATGATTATCATTGGGGTTTATTTTTTTAGTTTTTAGAAGTCCCGAACCTTTAAAAATCGGACCTTATAGTTTTTATAGTTTATTGTCTCGATGGGTTTTATTTTTATAATTTTTAGAAATCTCGTCAAACGCTGCCACTATACTTCTCTATGGTCCGCCTGTTGTCTCCTCTCTTTAGTTTCTTCATCTAAAATAAAAGAATTTTGTGAGGGTTCATTTTTTTTTACTTTCTAGAAGTCCCACCAAACCGTTAACGGCTTTGCCATTGTACTCTTTTACGGCTCGCCCGCTGCCTGTACTCTTCTACGACTCACCCGTTGCCTCCCCTCTTTAATGTCATTGAAACTTAATCAAACATAATTATCATTGGGGTTTATTTTTTACTTTTTAGAAATCCTTCCAACCACTATGAGCATATTGCTTAACGACATGTCCGTCATCTCTCCTTTTAATCGTTATTGGGATTCTATTTGGGATTTTGTTAATAGTTTTTAAATGTCCCATCAACAATCACCCCTCAGCTCCTTTACAAATATGTTGTTTCTCTCGTCTTTAGTGTCATTTGTCGTATGTGTTCTAGATGGAATTTTTGTTTGAAAATTTCATATTTTCATTCCAATAATTTTATATAAATTATATTCCTACTTAAAATCTTATAATTATTTTTCTATTTTCGGAATTCCTTTTATTTTTATTCGGGATTTTAATTAATCTTTTCATGTGTTCTAGTCTATATTTTTTATTACGAATTTAAGATTTTTATAAATTGTATTCCTAGTTGAACTCTTATTTTATTTTTCTAATTTCAGAATTTATTTATTTAATATTTTGAATTTTACTTAATCGAATTGTGTTCTATATGGACAATTCTTTCTATATTTCTTATTTTTTTATTTCTAATTTTAGTTGTTTCAAAATTGTATTCTTATTTGAACTCTCTTTTTTTATTTTTTCTAATTTCGGATTTTATTTTATTTTTATTACGAATTTTAATTAATCTCATATTGTGTTCTTATATGGACTCTTCTTTCAATATTTCTTATTTTTAATTTCAAATTTTAGTTATTTTTAAGTTGTATTTCTATTTGGATTTTTCTTTTCTTTTTTTTCCTAATTTTGGATTTTATTTTATTTTTTATTTCAAATTTTAATTAATCCCGTATTTGGTTCTTATATGAACTCTTATTTCAATGTTGCTTATTTTTTATTTCGAATTTTAGATATTTCTGAATTGTATTCCTACATGGACTCTATTTTTCTTTTTTTGATAATGTGGGAATTTCTAGCCTCCACAACGAACGTGGTGCATTCTTTCAAGGCTATTTTAATGATATAACTAGTTGTGTGGCCCGCGCAATTATGCTGCTAGCACCCAAACAAAATCATATATTTTTTGTATGATTTTATTTAAAATTTATTAAATAGCTATCTCGTTGTTTTAAGACTTTGAAAGACCAAACCTTATCATCCCCGTGTTTCTAATTATATAGTTTTTAAAAGTCACATTAGTTGCTACACCTTACTTCTGTCATCTCCTTCTTTATTTGCTTGCTCGATCTACTACTATTTCTATTTTATTCTCCTTGGAACCTTTAAAAATTGGATCTTATAATTTTTAGAGTTTATTGTCTTGTTGGGTTTCTTTTTGTAATTTCTAGAAGTCCCGTCAAACGTTGCCATTATACTCCTCTACGACCCATCCACTGTCTTTTCTCTTTATTGTCATTGTGATTTTAAAAATCGAACATAATTATAGTTCGGGTTCATTTTTTACTTTCTAGAAGTTCCACCAAACCGTTAGCGGATTTGCCAGTGTACTCCTCTATGGCTCGCCCGCTGCCACCCTTCTTTATTGTCATTGAGATTTTAAAATCGAACATGATTATCATTGGGTTTTTTTAGTTTTTAGAAGTTCCAAACCTTTAAAAATTGGACCTTATAGATTTTAGAGTTTATTGTTTTGTTGGGCTTCATTTTTTATAATTTTTAGAAGTCCCGTCAAATGATGCCACCATACTCTTCTACGGCCCATCCGTCGTCTACGCTTTATTGTCATTGGGATTCTAAAAATCGAACATAACTATCGTTGGAATTCATTTTTTATTTTCTAGAAGTCCCACCAACCGTAGGCGGCTCTGCAACTATACTCCTATACACCCCGCCCGTTGCTTCTCCTTTTTATTGTCATTGAGATTTTAAAAATCGAATATGATTATCAATGATGTTTACTTTTCTACTTTCTAGAAGTCCCGGCAACCGCCTTGCCCGTTTGCTTCACGGCCTACCTGCCGTCTCTCCTTTTAATCGTTATTAGGATTATTTTTGGTGTTTTATTAACAGTTTTTATATGTCGTATCAACCGTCATCACTCTACTCCTTTTATAGGCATGTTACTTAATTTATCTCGTCATGTGTTCTTATATGGACTCTTCTTTCAATATTTCTTATTTTCAATTCCGAATTTCAGTTACTTTTAAGTTGTATTTCTATTTGAACTTTTCTTTTCTTTTCTTTTTTTTCTAATTTTGGATTTTATTTTATTTTTTATTTCGAATTTTAATAATATCGTATTTGGTTCATATATGGACTCTTATTTCAATGTTGCTTATTTTTAATTTCGAATTTTAGATATTTCTGAATTGTATTCCTACATGGACTCTATTTTTCTTTTTCTGATAATGTGGGAATTTCTAGCCTCCACAGCGAATATAGTGCATTTAATAATATAATAGATAGATAGATAGATAGATAGATAGATATATAGATAGATAGATAGATAGATAGATAGATAGGGGTAAGTTTATAGATTGACATAATATTAGAGTTTTGATATTTATAGTATCAATAATGATACCTTGTGCAGCACAGGTTGATGACTAGTATGGCTAATTCTTTCTACCCAAAGCAGTGTGTCTTCAATTGGAGAAAATATGTAGTGGAAACTTATTTAATTCGTATAGTTTGTAAAATCAAAGGTGTTTTTATTATTATTCTGTGATGAACAATTGGGCATTGGAGATTATTGGTTTTGTTATTTGGAATTTATTCACGAAGTGGTTTTGGAGATGATTGGATTTACAGGTGAATCGCAGGTTCGTTATTTCATGTGACCGGTCAGACTGGGCAGTGTGTGCCGGTCAGACCGGCGTGTATCGCGCGGTCAGACCGGCGCAGCCCGCGGTCTGACCGGCAGACGCTGTGTCGGTTTCGGTTTCGGGTTGTTTGTTTGGATATCCGTGAATATTTCATGATTATGACTTCTAGATGGACACTATACGTATGTAATACTGTTGTTTGCTACTAATGAGTCAAGTTGGTGATAGCTTGGTCTCGAAATATGGTTTCTTTGTTTATTTCATGTGTAGGTGACTTGATGCCTTGGGAGAGTATTTGCGGTGATGGACCGGGAGTCGGCTTGGGGATAAGACGACATCTGTGGTGGTCAGAGATCATGCGGGATACTTAGGCTAGAGTTGATGCACGTGGTTGATGGAGATTCCATATGGCATACGATGGAGGTATTGTGTGCGTATGGGATGCGGAGTCGAATTTGGAAGGAGTCCAAATTTGGTATGATTGGTTATGCAAAGTTTGTTTCTTGTACTAGAGGGTTTCCTAAGGTGTTTAGGACTCCTAGTATGAGTTTGGTTCGTGGCTTTAGGCTACCTACCTCGGGTATAAATAGAGGGGGAGCGTGAGGCTTCCCGGTATCGCTTTAGAGAGCAATTGTGTTGAGTTTTGAGTTAGGTTTCGAGTTTAGTCGAAATTTTTGTAAGGAGTGCTGTTGGTGCACTTTGTAAACACAGAGAGAATCAATAAAGTCGTCATCTACTTTAAGAGTTCTTCGATTTGTGTTTTACCGGGTTTCGGCGGTCTAACCGGCGATCTACCGGCGGCAAGCGGCGGTCAGACCGGCGGGAGCACGGCGGTCAGATCGGCGGCGGTGACAGGCGCGACAGGCATCTCGGCGGTTCGACCGATCGATCTACATCGGTCAGACCGACGTTCATCAGGTGGTCAGACCGACGTTCATTAGGCGGTCAGACCGGCGCATACACTTCGGTCAGACCGCGATCTCCGTCGAATTCGAGGGTAACTTTTATTTCCGTTAAAAGTTTTCCGTTTTTTTGGTATACCAACCATTCACCCCCCTCTGGTTGGCTTAGTTCTTGTGTTTCGATCCTACATAGTTTCTTTTTTGTCAAACATCCAATCTATTATATTATTAAAGGAATAGAAAAAGGAGCCTCCACGTTCACTCTCATGGCCTAGAAATTCTTACATTAATCGGAGAAAAAGAAAAAGTAGTGTCCATATAGAAATACAATTTAGAAATAGTTGAAATTCGGAATTAAAAAATAAGGAATATTAGAAGAGGAGACTAGAGTCTATATAGAAATACAATTTAGAAATAGTTGAAATTTGGAATTAAAAATAAGGAATATTAGAAGAGGAGACTAGAGTCCATATAAAAATACAATTAGGAAATAACTGAAATTCAGAATTAAAAAATAAGGAATATTAGAACAGGAGACTAGAGTCCATATAGAAATATAATTAGGAAATAACTGAAATTTGGAATTAAAAATAAGGAATATTAGAAGTAGAGTATAGAATCCATATAGATATACAATTAAGAAAAGAATAGAAAATCGGAATTAAAAAATAAGAAATATTAGAAGTAGAGTATAGAGTCTATATAGAAATACAATTAAGAAAGAAATAGAAATTCGGAATTAAAAAATAAAGAATATTAGAAGTAGAGTATAGAGTCCATATAGGAATTTAAAACTAACTAAAATTCAAAATAAACATAATAAAATTAAAAGTAGAGTTTATAGTCCGTATAAAAATACAATTTACAAATAACTAAAATTCGAGATTAAGAAAAACATAGGAAGAAGAGTCTAAAGTCAATATAGGAATGCAATTTAGAAGTAACTGAAATTCGAAATTAAAAATTATGAATATTGAAAGATGAGTTTAGAGTCCACATAGAAATACAATTAGAAATAATAAAAATTCAGAAATAAAAATAAATAATATTGGAAGAAGAGTATAGAGTCTATATAGAAATACAATTTACAAAAAATTCGGAATTAAAAAAAGAAATATTAAAAGACGAGTCTAGAGTCTATATAGGAATACATGTAATTTAAAAATAATTAAAAATTGATGTTTAAAATAATTAATAACTAACATGTATATAAAATACAATATGAATATTGTCCATTAATAGTTTCGTAAAGTTATTGCAAAATTTAAAATTATGTTGTCATTTTAATATATTTGAATAATATATTGAGAAAACATGTATGCTATCATATGAGAGAAAATATAATGATGCTAGCCTATATTTGAATCTGACTGAACTAATATCTAGCTTCATCCACATAAACAAGCCCCCGGACTTTGCGGCAATAATACGTCCGAGCCTTGCTGTCAGGTGGTTCTCGTCCAATTGGATAAAGTTAGACGATTTAGATGTAAGCATACGAGATGATTTCGACCCGCGGGAAGTTCCTGTATCCCCATTTCTCTTCTCTGTGATCTTGATAACCAGTTCTTTTGATCTAACGACCCACACTATGTGCTTTCAGGACCTTGATTTCGCAAAGCCTGCTGATTGCCGAGCATCCTGCTGATACAGTGTGTAGGATCACCTGAAATCCTGCAGTTGCTACCACCTTTTGTCGTTGTTATTTACTTATTCCCATGTGAACCTGCTTCTGTATAATTGCCCGGTAGGAACGGTCCTCCCTTGATGCTCCAACCAACGACAGATGCCCATGATATAATACTGATCTCATATCCAAGTTTAATTTCAACATGGCATGATCAAGTTCAATGAACCGTAACCATCCTATGCTTGTGGCAATGCAGCATCATAGCTGGCTGTCGGTTGCCGCTAACAAATCTAACTGTAACCACACGCTTCGACAGTTCGACCTGCCGGCCCGGCCGCCGAATCCCGTGAAAAACTTCAGCGTTTTACCGTCAGCGTGCACCCCCGTCACGGCATTCTTGATCTGCCAGCCAAACATATGCAGAATGAATTGATCTCGGCAGGCTGCAGTGACGGGTTGCTGTCGTTCCAGCTGCAGCTGGCCCGGGGAGGCGCCGGACGATGGGACCAATCCAAACCTGAATGGTTGAATCCACCGCATGGCATTCGTTCGTCGTCTTGCCGCCAGCACAGTGATGATCTTGTTTAATTAACTCAGCTTCTAGTTCATATGACTCTTGCTAATAGTAATAGCCTCTTGAACTAGCTTAGGCATGGTGATTAACTGATTGAAATGACCAGTGTTTTGGTTTAACTGATGCAGGCTTCAGTATCAGATCAGATGAACAGGACGGGAAGCGCCGACCAAAACGATCGGAGTTATCCGGAGACGCCACGTCAGCTAGTAGTCCTGCTACTGCAGCGCCGCTCACGTTGATGATGAGCAGCTGAGCTGCGGAGCTCGGTGACTGGCTCGCGTCAGACAGACTCCCTCCTCTCCTCGAGATGCTGTACTTGCCATCGGTCCATCACCCTTCCATCCCGCCACGTTGCGATCCCCTCGGCCACTTCTATTAAACGCCAACGTACTCCTCATCACGCCTCCAAACCCGCCGCTTTGATTGTACTTGTGCTTTGCTGTTAAAGAGCTCGCCGGCGTGAGTGGTGGCGGGTAGAAGTTATATGGAGAGAATGCGGTGTGTTGGTGGTGGTGACACCCCGTTGGGGTTTCGGGGCGTCGTGGAGGAGGAGCTAGAGGAGGAGGTGGCGGCGGTGTCAGCGTCGGGGAGGCCAATGCAGCGGCAGCGGCGGCGGCGGCGGCGGTGGGGAGAGGATGCCGACGATGGCTACTCGGCGAGCTCGACTGGCGGCGGCGGGAGCAGCGGATGCGGCTCCTTCGGCTGTGACTCGGTTCGTCTTGCTCCCTGCATCGCTAGTACTACTTTTTTTGTTGATTTCCTTTAGCATTAGTCATGGGCGATTTCTTTCTTTTTCTTGGGCACCAAACTCTGCAATTTGCGCCATGAGGAAGAAAAAGATTGTTAATTTTGAGATGCTATTCACCTCAGTTAAGGAAAAGATTTAACTTTACAGGGTGGTTGTTGCCACTTGCCAATGTGCCACGCAGATCTCAGTAGCAGATAGCTTTTCTCAGGTGACAGCAAGTTCGCAACAACGCGTTTAGATGCGATAGTATAATCAAGAAACACCATGCTAAGTAAACTGCAAAATCTTTATAAATAACTAGCGAAATGCCTAGTTGGTAATTCTAGCAATTGAGACAAAGCAGGAGGGCCCAGACCTTTTTAAGACAGTAGGAATCAATGCATCATCGTCACCATCTTGGATCCTTAGCAAGAGGAGAAAGGAGGGTGCTTTTTTCCTTGACATGAGAAAATGGGGGCTCTGTTGCCTGTTGGATTCTCTTCACCTTTGTTCTCTGTTTGAGAATTAGTAGGTACTAGCTTTTATGATCAGTGAGGCTAAGCTGATGGTTGGTTGCAGCCTTTGGCTGGGTTCGTGCGTGCTGATGGCGACCCGGACACAGATCTGGAGACAGATGGGGTGGCCACTCCATCCTCCAATGGTGAGCACAATGCTGTTCACAGCTCACAGTTTGTATTCTTGCCAGTGTTCTTGCTCGGTTGGAGCGCAACTTTACAGCCCTTAAAAGGAGTTCTGTTCTCGCTGAAGCCTCTGCAGCATTCGCCGAGCCACACGACGAGGAGGAGGGGGACGAGGTGTTGTGTGGGGTGGTGGAAGGGGACTGGGCACAGCTGCAAGAACCAACCAAGAGTCCGGCAGACCGTACCACCGGAGGTACGAATTCTGAAACTTTGCATGGAAAAATTTAGATGGTACTCGGTTGTTCATTTTGTATGCTTGTGTGGTGCTCGACAGAATGCCTGTACCAGCGGCGCCGGTCAGAAGCTGTTCTTTTGCAGGGTAGGAAGGGGTTGAAGCAACGGCCAGCCTCTCTGGACTTTGGCAGCGGCAGCCCCGGGTTCAATGGAGCCCCTCTTTCTCCGGGCTTTGTGGTTGGGGGTGTGGGTTTGATGAACAAGGGTCTTGTGTCATCATCATTCATCAGATCAGACGTTTTTCCTAGTCCCAGGACACCGAACTATCGGCGGCATCGTTCATCAGTATTTGGTTACCAAAAGGGGTGGAGCTCTGAGAGAGTACCGCTTGCTTCCAAAGGTAACAGGAGGTACCCAGGCAGCAGCATGGCATTTCCCTTCAGCAATGGGAGGACATTGCCCTCCAAATGGGAGGATGCAGAGAGATGGATCTTCAGTCCGAATTCGAGTGACGTGCTCGAGAAGACTTCATTTGCTCCTGCTCGGCGACCAAAGTCCAAAAGTGGTCCATTAGGGCCTCCTGGAAAATTTGGTGGACAATACTCATCTGTGTCATTGCTTGACAATGGGAGAGTTGGACATTTGACAGCAAACTCGCCTTTCTTGGCTGGAGTACTGATACCAGAACATTATTGTGGAGAGAAAGATAACATTGGGAGGTATATGAGCAGAACAGCTGGTGAGGAGGCCAGCATTGGCATTGGAGGCAAGTCTTGTCTGGCAAATGGTGGGTCTCATGCTACTCAATATAACAGAGTTCGTCGACGACTGGATACTGCGATTGAGTCATCACCTTCATTGCCTAGCACCCAAGCGTCTGTACAAGGTATTATAAATTATTCTCGTTTGCAATTCATTCCTTTTCTGCCTGCCTTTCAGTTTTGAGTTGATCCATAATTGTTCTGAAGGCAGCCTGGTGTTTTGAGGTATCCTCTCTATTTGCCAAAGCATCTCAATACTGTGGAGTTTCTCATGGCCTTGCCACTGTAAATGATGTTTTTTTTGTCAATTAGTGTTTTGATAGCTGGTTTTATCCTTGGATCGTCAACATAACATCATAGAAAGTTAGTCTTATTCTGTACACAACAGATCAAGTCAGTCTTATGTTTGTACCTTCTTGTTTGGTTTCTGATTCAGATGAACAGGTTGGAATCACAGAAGAGTCAGCCTCCATTATCACCCCTATAATTTTGCGGAAGGATGCGGCAACTCAAACAAGCCCAAATCTAAGTCGGTCATCTTCGCCCAGTGTCAGTACTCCATTTATCCATTTGCTTACGACACACCAAGTCAGAGAAAAGGAGAATTGTTTCTCTGATGTTATCAGGGATGTGCACATGGACGATCGAGTGACTCTTACCAGGTGGTCCAAGAAACATGTTACACGAGCATCTAGCAAGAACTCAACAAATGTTATAGATGTGAAGAAAAAGACAGTGGAGTCTAAGTCTTCTTCCTGGGAATTAACAGAAGCAAAATCCATATCAAAGTAAGAGACCACCAATTGTTTTGGTCCTACAGATGAGTTTGAGTAGCATTTTCTTCGGACATAACTTTATTATGTTGAACCACTAAATTACTAACAGAAGCAAAATCCATATCAAAGTAAGAGACCACCAATTGTTTTGGTCCTTCAGATGAGTTTGAGTAGTATTTTCTTCAGACATAACTTTGTTACGTTGAACCACTAAATTACTACTATAAGACTTGAAAGATTAATTTAGGGAAAGAATGCTGCATGTCTTTCTTATCTGTTATAGTACGCAAGTTATCCAATGCTTTTAATATTTTCCAAAAACTTGCAACTTAAATTTACACCATCAAGCCGTGAAATGCTAATCACTCCATGCAATGTTAAAAGGGTTGAGCGAGAGCAAGAAAAAATTACTGCTTGGGAACACCTCCAAAAAGCCAAGGCTGAGGCAGCAATCCAAAAGTTAGTGGTATGTGTGCTCTTTTCTTTACTTCTTTACTTCTAACAGATTTATAGGTCTGTTTTATCGGACTTATTTATGTTGTTGTAAAGAGCCTATATACTGTATACACGACCAAAATTCTCAAAGTTAAATCAACGCTCATGTAAATCACTGGATTCTTTTCCACTGATGTACATTTGACCTTACACTATACGCATGCTTTTGTTATGTCAGATGAAAATCGAGAAAAAGAGATCATCTTCACTGGACAAGATTTGGAACACCCTCAGGTCTGCACAAAGAAGAGCACAGGTAATGCGTGAAACTGCAGCAGCAAACCAGGATGAGCAATCTTCCGGGAAGGCTAAAAGGACATCACACCTTAATAAGAACGGCCAGATCAGCTCTCTGAGTGGCTGCTTCACTTGCCATGCCTTCTAGTGTCATGTAGTTTAAGAAGTGAGTAAGTTACATTCTGACTCCTGTGATACTTTAAATGTTTTTTGATGAATTCTGCAGTGTTTCCTGTTTTAATAACATTATACCTGTTAGGATTTTTTTCACAGTACACCAAAATTGTTTAGATAGTTCATTTAACACTGGTCCAACGCTTGATAATACTATTACCTCCTACAGGATCTAACTGTTAACATTACAGCAGTATCATTATTGAGATCTAACAGTTGCAACTGGGAGAATTATGTAAAGAATAAATTCCCCAGTACCCTCTTCTGAGTATCATCGAGGGGAACAATTACATTTATTTTAGAGCACCGATGATGCGTGCATATTATTTTAGTTTATTTCACCTACCTTGATGTAGATATTTTTTTTTTTGTAACTGCATACCATTCACTCAAATAACTTTTCAGAATTATGTTATGCTCTATGACATATTCCATGTTTCAAACCAATTATTCAGATTACGTAGATCCTAAAGGTATACCTGTATTCATAAACTTCTTCGATGCAACTAGCGGATTGACCTTTAGTGGAGGGGTACCAGCTTAGGTTGTACAGTCAGCATTATCCTACTAAATTGCCTCAAATTTATTTAGGTCCTTCTTAAATAAGTAATCATACACATCTGTCTTCTAATTAACATTGATAGAATTCTTGTTAGTATGCTGAAGACGTGAACAGTTTGCTACTGTTTACCTTGTAATGTTTTGAGGAAAATCGACAATATTATGATAACAAAAAGGGGTCAATTATTAGCATGCGTACTAATATATTTCCTGTAATCTGTGGCTGTCTGATACCACATGTTTACCCTTTTACTGTTGATGCCCCACAACTTCCATATCGGCTCAATAATTAGGCAACATTTCAGTGAACCAAATATTCCATGCATGCTTATGTTTGTACATCAAAACTTTTGTCATGTTCAGGGAACAGGACTTAAAGTAATTCTTCGTGTTATCAACACGCTCGTGTTGACTTAGTGAAGTTCAGAGATTTACAGAATAAAGATGATCCAGCAGATGGAAATTATCCCCCCTTGAATTTTGACAAGATGCTGCTGCAACAATGGGGGACCATGCATTATCATGATATAGATTTCTACAGTTCTGCTTTGTGTTAGTTTCGATTCTGCCATGGGGGGACAAGAGAAAATGGTGCCACGAAGGAAAGGTGAAATTCTTCTGCATACATCCCATGTGCCTGATTGATATCTTAGCACAATGATAATTGATAAGGTCCTCCTCTATCATTCATTACCCATTACCAACATTCTAGATGCTATGAGTTTGTGTGCGATGAAAACAAAGCAGATATGTATCATTTGCACCACAATTCCAACGGATAGATAAGAAGGGAATGTTTCAGTCAGAGGGAATACAGTGCCTTACTGTGATTCATGCTGGAAAACTCTACTGGATTGTGAAAGGGAACCAGGTGGAATGCAATAGATTTAGCTAGCGTATGCTACATTTGCATACACAGTTACAATAGCATGTGTTGGAGAAAAATATAGGAATACAGGAAAATAGAGATTCTGTTTGAATTTCATGGCAATTTGACAAGCTCTTCGCAGAACAACTCTCCCATTTCTGTAATGAGCTGTTTCTTGTAATTCCTATTGCAACACATAGGCGTTACTGAATGTTGATAAATGATATTGCCATCGCAATTTTTTTTTAGAAAAATAATCGCTATCGCTGCTCCAACTTCAAAATAAAAGTACTCCGGGATTCTTTAGATCACTCTGAATGTTATGCATAACATTTCAGCATCTTCTTTTCTTTTTCTCGTTCACAAATATAGATGGCATACTTTACAATATCCTGTGGACCTTTTTGCCTGCACGGATAAGATACTTTGACGTGAACTAATCCGCTGTCTGGCGTGCCTCTCTACGTGATCGTCGGATCAATCTTGCCCTCCTTTTCTTCTTGATTATGTGATCGTCTAACCAAATTCTCCAATGCGTCTCATCAAACTATCAGGGGACCTGTCTGTAAATATAACAGACTAGACATGTTATATGAAAACTTTTCTTTTGGTACAACTTGGTTCTCCAATCACACTCATCATGGCATAGTAGCATTCAGCTGAAACCATGGTCATACAAATCTTAAAAATTTTGCTTCTTAATTACCCCTTGCAGTATCAAAATTTTGGTTATTAATTTTAAGAGTAAATTTTATATAACCCAAGGACTACGGTCCAATTTCTGCAAAATCATAAAGATTTTTACCCAACATTTAACTCAGGTTTTGTGACCTCAAAGTTTTAGAAAACCACGTTATTTACTATTTCTTTTACTTTGATCTACTATCCATCGCATAAATATATAAATGTTACAACTATCTAAGTAGAATATCTATTATTTTAATAAATAGTAAGTCAAACTGATTAAGAGTACGGTTTGTGAATATCAAGTAACAAACACCAAAGTTTATGTGGTTTTGTGTAGCCTGAACAATAATAGTTGGGGTTTTAAAAAATATACTCTCATTCTAAATCTAGTGGGTGATGTCATATGCCTAAGTTTATAGGATGCATGTCATCTGCAGTACTGCTCACTGACATGGCCCACATGTCCCCTCGGGTCTACATGTCAGTGAGCAGTACTGCACATGCAATACTGAAGGGGTCTCAATTAAAGTTTATATATCCAGCTCGATTGCTTGGCTGAACCAATACAAATAATTTTTTGGCATCAATTGGATGTGCTAGCTGCCGCTGCCGCCTACGGCCATTTTCAATTGTCGTAGCCTTTTATAGCAGCAAGCACAACCAAGCATATCGTCTTTATATGACTTCTTTAAAATACATGAATCTCACCTGATTTTCATAAGAATTGATTTTGTAAAATTTCTTTAGAAAATCCACGATTCCAAAAGGTGGCTAAGGTGTATGAAATCATCGTCTTTCTATTGAGAGGAAACAAAAACATCGAGTGTAGTGTAGTTTAGCACATACTCCACCCTAACATCTTTTCTGATAACACCATAATTTTTTTAATTTATGTCGCACGATACCCGGCCCACGATGAGGGGGAGAGCCACCAACTACCCCCCTGCTCCCAACAGATGACGCTGGCTGTTGGGCCCCACATCCCTCCTGGGCTCCGACGATATTTTTGTCCGGAAGCCGCCGTCCGAGCAACTGACGGAAGCCAACGCCACCACGCGTCGCGCGCCGATTGGCCGGGTGGTCGCAGTCGCCGCCTCCCTCGCGCGCCACGTACCAGGCAGCGGACGCAGCCGCACTCCGCGCTCCACCACCAGGAGGATCCTCTGCGCCACGCCGCGCGCGCACGCACGCACGCACGCACCGCAGGCCGCAGCATCATCATCACTCGCAATCCGCAGTCCGCACCACCACGCCAACGGATCGCCCTCGCGAGGCGCAGGCAGCCTCTCGCTCCTCCCACCACTCTCTCTACTACTAGTGCTTTTCCCAAGAAACGCATGTGACTCGTGGCGATCCTGAGCTTCTTTGGGCGTCGAATTCCTGTGGTGCGCGGCCGGCGTGGTGCGTTGCTTGATGCTGACGGATAGGTGGGGAGGGAGGAGGGAGGCGATGGAGTTCGGGAACGGCGGGTCCTCCTCGTCGGAGCGCAGGGCGGCGGCGGAGGGGGCGACGCTGGCGAGACAGGGTTCGGTGTATTCGCTGACGTTCGACGAGTTCCAGAGCGCGCTCGCTGGTGGCGGCGGCGGCGGCGGTGGTGGAAGCGGGTTCGGGAAGGACTTCGGCTCCATGAACATGGACGAGCTGCTCCGGAGCATCTGGACCGCGGAGGAGAGCCAGGCCATGGCCTCCGCCTCTGGCTCCGCCGCGGGGGTGGGCGTGGCCGTGGGGGCGCCGCCGACGTCGCTGCAGCGCCAGGGCTCGCTCACCCTGCCCCGCACGCTCAGCGCCAAGACGGTGGACGAGGTATGGCGCAACCTTGTGCGCGACGAGCCACCGCCGGTGGGGGCGGCGGATGGCGGCGATATGCCACCCCAGCGGCAGTCGACCCTCGGGGAGATGACCCTGGAGGAGTTCTTGGTCAGAGCCGGCGTGGTCCGAGAAAATCCACCCGCTGCGCCGCCCCCCGTTCCCCCGCCAATGCCGCCGCGGCCAGTCCCGGTGGTCCCCAAGACCACTGCCTTCTTGGGAAACTTCCCCGGTGCCAACGATGCCGGCGCGGCGGCGCTGGGCTTTGCGCCGCTCGGCATGGGGGATCCAGCCTTGGGCAATGGCCTGATGCCCAGGGCAGTGCCAGTGGGCTTGCCTGGCGCCGCCGTCGCTATGCAAACAGCGGTGAACCAGTTTGATTCTGGCGATAAGGGGAACAGCGACCTGTCATCGCCGACGGAGCCAATGCCTTATTCCTTCGAAGGGTTGGTGAGGGGGAGAAGGAACGGTGGCGGAGTAGAGAAAGTGGTGGAGAGGAGGCAGAGGAGGATGATCAAGAACAGGGAGTCCGCGGCGAGATCCCGCGCGCGCAAGCAGGTCTTAAACTCTAAATTCTTTGTACTGATTATGCATCTATTGCTATTGGAACCATTCTGTGAGAGTGCCAAGTTGTTGAGCCTACCTCAAAATAAGATGATAGAAATACTATTGGCAGTAACTTAGTTTACTGGAGTTTCCCATGGCATGCTAATCTTAGCAACTATAATCAAACTTTGTGTTATATGAGCAGAGCTGTTGGCTAGTTTGTTCATCCCTGTTATGGATTTTGTTTAAAAGCAGATAATTTCATCAAATTTCCTGTCTTGCTAACAATTTCCTTATTGGAAAAGGCTTACACATTGGAATTGGAAGCTGAAGTTCAGAAACTCAAGGAGATGAACAAGGAATTGGAGAGGAAACAGGTTTCTTTCTGACAAACTCTGTTGTAGAATGTTGAATGGACTATTAGCACATGATTAATTAAGTTTTAATTATTACAAACTTGACAAATGGATATATTTGATATTTTAAAATAACTTCTATATAGAAAGTTTTCCCACGAAACACACCGTTTAGCGGTTTGAAAAGCGTGCTAACGGAAACTGAGGTAAAATTTGTATAGTCTCCTTTCAGTATAAAGAACAAGGCCTACTTTTAGTATAGTCTCCTTAAGAAGGATTTATACTGCTGTTCTAAAACTCGTAGCTTCAGTTCTTAAACCCCAGTATTAGCTGCTTTGCTTCTCTGTTCATGTTCATGACATCAGAGGGTTCAAACAGGGTTCACTATGACTTGCTCTTTCGAAGTAATGCATATGTTTCTCAGAAACAAAGCCCATTGTGTCCAACATTGAGTTTCTCTTTTAGAATAATCTTCCAATGTTGCTGCAGTAATAGTTTCAATTCCTTGTCTAGGAAGAAAATTTTTTTCATATCTGACATGATGCCAACAGCCCTGTTGCCTACGTACACAAAACGCATATTACCCAGCTTGCACTTCTTATAAATGATTGGTGAACATGTCGGTAAATTAGGGCTCAAGTATCATACTTGAAGTTTATCATTTTTATAGACTTTTTTTTTATTCCAGTCTATGCGGAAAGCATGCAATCAACCATCTATTATTACAAAATTTTAGGGCTTTATCCATAGGCTACCGACCAATGCTAGCAAATAGCACTCGTTTACAGAATTCAAAGTTTGGATATGCTCATAGCGTACTCCTTTGAGAGTCCTGATATTTTCTTTTTCTTCCATCTTGCAGGCAGATATCATGGAAATGCAGAAAAATGAGGTAATTGCTTTCGTCGTTTGTTTATGTCAAATGTGTGCCCTTGACACTTTTCTCTGTTTTTACAGTTACAACTATAATAAATGTCAAGATAACGCTATGTGCTGTCTGCTTAATTTTTTACTATGTTTTTAGCTTAATTTCATTTCACTTTCTGTTGTTCGCATAATTTAGTCTGAGGTTGGAATGCTGGATGTGCATTTGTGGGACAAATGCTTCAATACTTACAAGTTACAACACAAATATTTCGCACATGTAAACTTTGCATTCTCTTTCAGGTTATTGCCTACAGATGCTATCTTCCAGTTCGTTTGTTGAATTGTTGTCCATTCTTTTTGTTTCAAAACATTTATTTTTAGGTGTTATGCTTCTTGTATTCATTACATGAAGAAAAATCTAGGTCATTTGCTGCTTTCAGTTAAAACCCTTGCTTCTCATTGTATGCACAAGTATTTTTACATGCTAGCTTATTCGTGTTCTCATTTTCTCATTAGTAGACTACTTTTTATCTCGTGTGTTTTTCATGGCACTATATGATGGATTTTTTTTGACATAATATATGATGGAATTTTTATTAATTCTTCTTTCTCTAATCAAACCATCTCATATTAATTTGGTAATTTGTGGAATCCAGTCCTTTTTCCTTATTTTGGTGTGGATTGTGCTCATTTCTAAGAACAGAGTAGTTGTGTAGCTGCAGAATTTCTTTATTTCTGGTATATTTACATATGGTTAGCTAAATTTCATGAAAAACATTTTCTGATTTTCAGTACTCTCTGAAAACTACTATTATGGTACAATGTTATTTGCAGTTTTTCTCGAGCCAATATCTCCCAAGAACTGGAGAAAAAATTACTTAGTGATTAGCATTATTATCCAAATCATAGGGTTTTGAGCGTCGACTCTTGCAAAATTCAACTTCCAGTACCATACCATTTCATTCAGTATTCAGCGAACCTGCTTGTCAGAAAAAAAGTGTGGAACGGGTATTTTATCGTATTTTACCTGTGTAACTGCTTAAATTTTGTTTCACTGCTTATAGGTAGAAGAAATGATAAAGGATCCATTTGGAAGAAGGAAGAGACTTTGCTTGCGAAGAACACTGACTGGTCCCTGGTGATGACGAGTGGTCGATGGCATGCAAATTCCCACCTTCATCAGCGACTGTGCATAATTTAATCTGTTGTAAACCAATGGTGGACGAACTTGTGCTTGATTAATCTTCTAGTTTCATTTTTCCTGCTAGCTGATTCTGAGAAGGCTTCCAAAACTGACATGTAGATTATGTGTAGACGAATGAAGCTGTCAGAACAACTTCCTGTAATCCTTGAGAAAACTTGTATAGTGTTGTCTAGGTTTGTATCATGCTAGTCTTTCTATCTAGTGTCCCACCCTAGAGACCAGACATCTTGGATGAGTTCAGAGGTCGATTTAAGCAAGTCATGGGGACCAAGAATCATACTGCAACCTGCCTGATGACTAGCTAAGCTAGGTAGTATGTAGCAATATCTGATATCTGTACCTGCTTCCTGAAGTATGTATTGTTATCTAGTGTATCTGATATCTAGCGTGTAAACTGTAAAGGAGTATAAGCAGACCTAGTTCTCAAGAAAAAAAAGTATAAGCAGACCTACTAATTGCTTATAAGCCTGTTACTTGTATCTCGCTGGCCTTGCACTCTTTCCGTTGGCACGTTTTTCAAATTACAGACGGTGTGTTTTGTGTAAAAACTTTCTGTATAGAAGGACCTCTAAAATACTAAATAAATTCATTTTTCGAATTTAAAATAATTAAAACTCAATTAATTATATACTAATAGATTTCTTGTTTTGCGTTCCTGTATCATATCCGTTCTTGTGTGTGTCATGGTCTCAATAAAGGGAATATAAATCCCCGTCGTTGGACGATTCCACGTCTCTTCATATCGTCAAACCGGACCCACGTGTCATACTCACGGAATGGACCCAATCAGACACAGCCAGGAAGGACCTCATTTGCTAGCCGAGAAATAGATTTGGAATATCGTGGAATTGTGGGAGACGGGAAGAGATTTGGGAATTATTACTGACATGTGGGCCTATTGATTTTATTTATTTTTTTCTATTGATTGTATTGCCACGTTAGATAAAATCACTCTACAAACCGATGAGGGAGTTACTTTACACTGGCTAATAATTGAGGGAGACTTTGCTCTGTTTAATGAGCTTAAGATTCAAAAAGCAACCGGTTAATAGCCAGCTTCTAAGAATCTGAAAAAAAAATAGGTTTCCTAGCTTCTAACTTCTAACTTTTTTTGGATTCTCTAACTACATCTTTTTAGGCCTTTCACAGTGCTCCACCCTGGACTGGTGCTATGGGACGGCACATTGGATTTTTGCTGCCGTGGCGCTCGAACCCGCGTCTCAAGTAGGAACCTCGTCTCCATGTTGAGCGACGCAGGACTTCGTCAAAACGATGTCGCGAGCAGAGGAGAAGACTGGAGGCACGCGCGCTGTGGGCGTCGTGGCTTCGCCCACGCGTGCCCTCGCAGCGAAATCCAAGGGCGAAATCCCCGATACGCCCTCCAAATCCACTCCCACCACAGCAAAATCCAGGGCGGCCTCGCCATCTCATCGGACGGCACCGCAGCTGCCACCAGGGTGCCCGACGAGCAGGGAGGCGCCTAGCACACTTCCAGCTACATCAACCCAAATCAAAATCAAAACCAAATCAGAACAATGCAACAAATCAAAGAACACAAATCGAGGGCAAGGAAACAAAAATCGAACACAAATCAACAAATCTGAACACACCACCAACACACATACCACGTCACCGGCGAGCTCCCAAGAAACAAAAATGGCGGCTGCGGCGAGATAGATGGACAGACGCGTCGCCGGAGGCAGAAGCGGTCGAAGCAAGGGAGTGGGGGAGGGAGAGGGGAGGGGCGGCAGACAGATCCATCGCCGTCGCTGTCGCCACAACGACCTCTATGGCGACGATGGCCTCCTACGCTGCGGAGGTGTAGAAGCAGTCCGCTCTTGCCGCCGACCGCCCGTCGGCGCTGTCTTGTCCACTCCTGCCGCTCCCACCGTCGGCGCGGGCGGAGCGGGCGGCGCGGTCGACGGCGAGGCGAGGCGCACAACGGCGGTGTCCCCGGCGTCTCGTCCACTCCCACCGCTCCCACCGTCGGCGGCGCGCCGTCCACTACAGCTGCCCCCACAACTTCCGAGTCCGAGCGGGAGGAGGAGCGAGCGGCGCGGTCGACGGCGAGGCGAGGCGCACAGCAGCAGTGTCCCCGGCGTCCGCCGCGAGGGAGGAGAGGGAGGAGAGCACGACGAGGGAGGAGAGGGAGGAGAAGGCGAGGCGAAGGAGGAGACATGCTGAGGGTGAGGGGTAGGTGAGGAAAATAAATTTGGGTGCGCTACCCGTGTCCTCGCGTAGGGTATCGTCCACTGTGGGCTTCGTTTCCTTCACCTATGTCTCTATCCAATTAAGTCACATATATATGGGTGATTCCACTGTGGGGTGAGTGTCCTTGAGCTGTGACTTTGGGCTAGGGGTATGGGCCCCATTGCTTGCACTGCTATTGCCATTACAATCTAGATGAAAAGCTAGACAATTTAGAGGAACTTTTGATTCTAGAGTAACTGCAGCTAACAGGAGCTCTTCAAACCCTTTTATTTCTATTTTTGCAGTTGAGGTAAGTAAGGACTCGGGCTATAATTGAGGGAGAAAATGAACTTTCTGCCTACCAAGACCCTGTAAGCCCAGCCTGGCGCTGCTTTCAAGATGAAAAGCATCAAGAAGCTTTAGGAATAAGTTTATTTTAGGTCTCTCTTCTTGAAACGCAATGTCGTGGGCAGCGGTGACTAGCGACACTGTAGAGAAAGGCGTCGACGTCGGCGGAGGAGGGATGGGGATCGGACAATGGCTCTGGTGGCCCAACCAACTGGTCAGGGGAGCAAGACGTCACGTCGTGACATCTGCTTTCCCCTTATCCTCTCCGACCATAGCTACCACCTCGCGTCGCGTGATGACACCTGAATTGATCCTCCCTCGTGATCTCCACTTCCCGCTCACTCACCACCACCGCGGGACAAGCTACTCCGGCAGGCATGGTGACGTGACCCGCTGCAACTACGTACGCGCACTGCACCCCACCCACCCCTCCTCTCATCGCATTGGGCCAGGCCAGCCGGCGCAGGGTAGCACCGACGTGCTCGCCGGCTCCGCATCATTGCTGCTGTCATCGGCCATTTGCTGCGACAGCTTGCCCCGCCAGAGGTGTGTGATGACGACAAAGGCGAAGGCACGGGTGTTGGGGCTACGGCCTGTCCTCACCGCTCAACACCCGGCGAGATAGGGAGAGAGAGAGGTGATGAGGCCCTAACATATGATGCCCATGCTGACTCAGTATAGTTGACTTGGGTCAAATTACTTGTCGGTCAAAACCACCTGCTAAACTGTTATGGGACTTGCCTCCCATCGCACAGGTTTTGACATTTAAAGAACCCGTTGTATTTGATATTTTGGTAAGGACGAAAATTAAATTTGCTGTCAAGTTAAGGGACCTATAATGAACTTATTCGTAGCTTTATAACGGGGTCCATCGCGACCGTACGACGGCCCATCACTTCCATCCTCCATCCCCAATCCTTCCGCAATGTCCAATCTTTACTGGAACTGAACATTTCGTCGCACCGCACAATTGGTGCGCTGCGAGAGTGCCAGGCAAGCTCATGGAAATGCCCAGATGTGACGCCGATCTGCAGGGACAGGACAGGAGTAAACTATGACGCGACGTACCGATCTTTACACAGATATTTTAGCTCTGGCCGTAATTGTACTACTGCAGCATGCATTGTCACCCAGATACTGACAGAGCGTCCCTGCGTCCGTTCGCCCCGGCAACACCCTTTTGGCACACCAACCCAGAGCTGTGCGTGGTGTGATTTGTACGGTTTTCTCTCGTTAATCAGTACGACCCCTACATACTGTCATACTGTGATGGATTAGTTAACTTAGCTAGTGCACCGGAAGATCTCTCAACCACATGCTTAAAATCTTTGTTGCAGCGGCAATCAATTAAGCATGTAGACTTGCAGATAAGTTTCTCTCCTTGCGCATGTATGGAGTGCACGTAATTGGGCCACTACGGCCTCAGACCAAAACGTGAACGATGACGGCCTACGAAGTAGCTGCATGGAGCGGGGCCACAGCAAGATTCGGATCAAGATGCTGCTTAGGACGGCCAGGACGACTGAATAACGGCAGAGAGACGGACACTTTATATTCTTTCGTTGCCTAACAGCAGTTGGTCCCATCACTGTGACTATATATTTGACAGCCGTTCGTGACTTCGTGCTATAGTACGGATGTTTGGACAGATGAAACAACAGTATCCCCCTCGGATTCTAGCAGCAACGAGCCAACGACGGACGGAACGCCGCTTGTCAACGAGCAAGAGACAAGGGGCTCTGCGTTAATTCAGGCTAGCTAGTCTTGGAGATCAGCGAAACGGGGGCCCATGGTGAAGAGCGTGCTGTACGCAGTTTACGAATTTTTTTTATTTATAATTTTTTTTATTAAAAGTTTTACAAAAATAATTTTCCATTTTGAAAATTGACGGAAGTAGTCGCCTACCGCCCTCTGGGAGGGCGATTTTTAAAAATCGCCCTCCCAGAGGGCGGCGAAAATGACGTGGCAGGCGGCCGTTCGCTCTCGGGCGACGGCCGTCAACGAAATTTGCAGGCGGCCCCCTTGCCGCCCTCCGCGAGGGCGATTTTGTACTGTGCGGGGGGCCGCCTGCAAATGGGCGGCGAGGGGGGGCATGGAAATTTGCAGGCGGCCCCCTTGCCGCCCTCCGCGAGGGCAATTTTGTACTGTGCGGGGGGCCGCCTGCAAATGGGCGGCGAGGGGGCATGGAATTTTGCAGGCGGCCCCCTTGCCGCCCTGGGGGAGGGCGATTTTGTACTGTGCTCTATATTTTTGTATAAATATCAATAGTTATCAAATCTTTTTATATTGAAAACTATACAAGATTAAAATCTCCAAGACTGGTAAAATACAATTTTATTATTTTTTAGGGCATATTTGGATTGTTACCGTACAAATATTTTATTAATTTTTAGGACATATTTGGATTGTTAGTGCCAAATTTTTCTTCACGACCAAATATTTGGTAAGGTAAAATTGCATTTGATCATATTTGGTTTGCTGCAAAAATGTAAAATTGTAGTGAAGAATGTTCTACATAATCTCAAATCTAGATTACGTATTACCAATGAATAGGCTTCCATTATCGTGTGTTGTGTGCTAGTGGGAAAGAAGATATGAAGAGGTTGCCTTCAGATTGTCAATTATATAGCGTCGTTTTCACTGCAATATATGTGAACTCAATGAGATACATTATTCATTAGATGTGACAAGACGATCACGCGTGGGCGTGATTCACTTTATGTAAACAGGCAGCGCCGAAAGTTGATAGTGATAACTCGAGCTGCCGCTTTTCATGTGTGCTGTTGTGGACTGTGCGCGCTACTGGATCTGACACTACCGTGCAGCGCCGAAAGTGTGTTGTCGTGAGCATAAGTTGTTCTAGCACCATATGAATGAAAAGAACTATGTAGACGAGACAAACACAAGTAGTACTGCAGTAGTAATAGCAAAAGTAGTACTG